AATACACACGTATGCTTCTCTTACTCTCTCAAGTGCACACACACACACACACACACACACACACACACACACACACACACACTCTTTAAAACCACCCAGCCATCAGTGCTATTGAGTCACTGTGTCGGGGTCATAGCAACTTTTCAGAACAGTAGACGCTCCCACCACCTTCTCTTCATGCCAAGTGGGGTGCAGCCAGTCACAAGAGGGTTTCACCAGGCAAAGGGGTTCACTTTCTCAAATGCTTTGTAAAAACTTTTCGGCTCCTGATTTAATTACCTCATTCACCAAATGACCTAATCAATCAAAAGGGGGGACATTTCTCTTCATGAGCACGGAAATTAAATGGCTTTTCCATCTTGTGGCTGGAGGGTTTCAGCCCAGCTTTGGCAGGTTGATGTAAACAACGTACCCAAAGAATTTTAATTGCCATTGCCTTAATGAAGCCCCATTAAAATCCCCTAAGCAGCTCCACTGACGGTCCGGGCACATGGCCCTTTAGCTACCAAACAACAAAGTCCTCATAACCTGGCCCTGGCCACTGAGGTTAAAGATTAAGCAGTCTGCCACAATTACGAAGGATAAGAAACAGGGTGTGCAGACCTTGACCTTCTCCAGCCTCCAGAGACCCAGAAGGACTAGGATACTTTTGGCTGAGGGCAGAGGTCTGAGCAGTCAACTTCCAAATGTGACCCACACTCCTCCTACACGGGATAAACACGGCAGCATTAGGGCAGAAGTCACAGCATATCACCCAGCGAGTAAAACTGGACCCAGAGGAAGCAGGAAGGAGTGCTACAGCTGCAAGAGCCAGGGTCATTCCAAACAGGAAACCAAACAGTCTGCAGAATAGTGGGTGATGCTCCCCGAAACACACACACACACACACACACACACACACACACACACACACACCCTGAGTTCTCCTCTCACCTGGAAGGCGGGAGACTTACCAGAAAGCAAGAGCCGGCTTTTTTCCTTTCTTCTTTTAAAAAGAGAAAAACTTGACATTGTCTATTTTTCTGTGACACAGAATTGGTAACCAAACTCAGGGCCCGCGCACACTAGGCAAGCACTGACCGTATGCTGTAGCTCCAGCCACATCGCTTTAAATGTATACTTTCTTCCGTCCTGTTATGCTCCCAAGATTATATCCTGCCAAGTACACTCCAAAATATTATGTGTAAGAATGCTTACTTTGGCTGGGCATTGGTGGTGCACATCTTTAATCCCAGAACTCAGGAGGCAGGCAGATCTCTGTGAGTTAGAGGCCAGCCTGGTCTACAAGAGCTAGTTCCAGGACAGCCTCCAAAGCCACAGGGAAACCCTGTCTCGAAACCCCACTGCCAAAAAAAAAAAAGAATGCTTACTTTGCCAAGGGCCAGCAATCAGAGATGTGCAGACAAGGCCTACAACCTGAGTTCGATCCCCAGAACACACAGGGTCAAAGAAGAAAACTGACTCCCCTGAGTTGTTCTCTAACCTCTGCAAGCACCATGGGATCCAGGAGCTCCCACCGAAAGTCAAATAAATGCAAAAAGACTTCATGCTCACTGAGTATGTTCTATAAATACTTTTATAAAACCTGGAAGCATTAATATCAATCAACAGAATACTAGTTAAGTATGGCATACCCATATCTTACACACACATTCACACACACACAAGCACACACATATACACACATACACCCATATACACATAAACACACATATACACACACATACATATACACACACACACATACACCTATACACATAAACACACCCACGTGTATACATACACATATAAACACACATATACATATATACATAAACACACAGACACACATACACACACATACACATATACACACACATACACAATATACACATAAACACAAATACAGGCGGGCACCAGTCCAAGAGGACTGACACATTCTACCCTCGCCTCTGCACACCGCCGTCTCCCCCTTCTGCCATCTTTCCACCGTGGTTGCAAGCTCTGCAATATCTGCACCTTGAATGCGTGACCCCCACGTTGTACAAAGCTGCAGCTGCACAGGGACATCTTGGAGATGACCACAGGCCTGCACCCCAGAGAGGAGACTCCCTGTCTGCCAGGCATGCTAACTGATCGTGGGAAGGGGGCAATCCTGTGTGTCTGCTAGGATACGGTGCAACCAGAAAGAGAAGACAACATCCATATTGCACTTTCCCAACCCCAAGCTGTCTGTCTGTCTGTCTGTCTGTCTGTCTGTCTGTCTGTCCGTCCGTCCGTCTGTCCGTCCGTCCTGTCTGATGCTGGAATTTTGGTGACACAGGCTACCAAGCACACCATTTCAATGGAGTAGGCCCGCTCCAGCCACCTGCATTCCTCCCTGATGGCTCACGGAGCAACCCTTATGTGCAAACTGGAGGCTGTGGAAGGCAATAGCTACAAGCACTGGCTCTGGGTTTGAATTCTGCCCCTGCCCTTCCTCGCTGCACGTCCTCAAACCATCTCACCTCTTGGGTCTTTGGTTTCCTCAACTGTTGGATGCGTTCAACCAGGATGTTCATGAAGTGCTTAGCATAGGAGGTGACCAAAGTAGAAGCTCAACAAATACTAGCAAAGGAAATTCCCTAGGCTACTGACAGACAGACAGACACACAGGCACCAGCCAATCACTCTGACAGCATCAGCGTGATGCATTGTCTCCATCCCCCCAAAGACCTGGCTTACCATCAGACAGGAAAAGAAAGGATGAAGAAAACACTGTGATGTATTCATGTACATGCTAGGTGGGTTACAGAGGGGTCTGGTGAAGGGGACAAGGAGGTGCCCTCGCCATACTGACAAATGCTTGTAGTGGGACCACACGTGTGCAGACAATTGCTCTGGTCCAGCACCTGCTAAGTAAAACCTGAACAACATCTTTCAGGGAAGTATTCTCCTCCCTGGAGACCCTTGCCAGGAGAGAAAAGGCATCCTGAGAAGAGATGGAGAACAAAGAACTCAAGTGGACAGACAACAAGCAGGGGAGTTGAGGCTCACAGCCAACATGGGCCAGCAGGATTGGGAACTGGGGCTATTAGAGAAATCCTTCAAATGGGTCAGCTTCAAGGCTATCTTAACCACTGGTCACGTGTGTCTATACAGTGAGGACAGACAGTCTGTGGCCATTGGTCACGTGTGTCTATACAGTGAGGACAGACAGTCTGTGGCCATTGGTCATGTGTGTCTATACAGTGAGGACAGACAGTCTGTGGCCATTGGTCATGTGTGTCTATACAGTGAGGACAGACAGTCTGTGGCCATTGGTCACATGTGTCTATACAGTGAGGACAGACAGTCTGTGGCCATTGGTCATGTGTGTCTGCACAGTGAGGACAGACAGTCTGTGGCCATTGGTCACGTGTGTCTATACAGTGAGGACAGACGGTCTGTGGCCATTGGTCACCTGTGCCTCTGTGCCAGGGATTTGATAAGAGAACAAAAAGCAACAGTGGACGTGCTGCCATCTCATGGGCACAGGGCTGACAGCAGGTCCTCAGGTCTGGCTAGACAGGAAGCAGAAGAGGGGAGCAGGCATGGCAGTTCTTAGCTGGGTGTGGGACGAGATAAAACTTTTCACTGACAGGCAAGGAGGAAGCTGTGCACAAGCTGAGCAGTTAAAGTGGCCAGACCCATTTCCTAGTTAACTTTCCATTTGCTGCAATGAACAGAGAGGGAAAGTGTCTTGCTAAACATGGCAGACTGCATGGCTCCTTTCATTTCTTCTCCTCCCCAACAGTCTGTTCAAACACCAGGATGATAAGCTCTCTCGAAGGGACAGTGCTGCCCAGAAAACATGATGTCAGCCTGAGGCTGGTCTGCTGTGTCCAGGTGCGCACACATCCTGAAGATTAAGACAGTTGTTCGCTGCCTTTCCGATGCTTGTGAACATCTTCTCTGGTTAAGACACCTCACTGTAGTAACTGAGTAACTCAGCTGTGAGGAAGATGGACTGAGGAGAAGCACAGTTAAGTCTGTGAAGGCCTGGTCTGATTCTCCTGGAGAAGTCAATACATCAATCTAAAACAAATAAATCTAAAACTAACAGTGTTCCCAATTTTCTGAGGTAAATGGAGGAAGTCAACACGTGAAATAGCTTTTTGTTTAGATTTGATATTTATGTGTGTGTCTTTGTGTGGGTGTGTGCATGTGATTGCAAGCATGCTTGGAGACCAGAGGAGAGCATCAGATCCCTTGAGCTGGGGTAATGTGAGGCACCACCAAAGTGTTGGGAAATCAACCTGGGTCCTCTGCAAGAGCAGGGTGTGCTCTCAACTGGTGAGCCGTCTCTCCCGCCCCAAACGAACCAGCTTTCCAGTGAATCTGCCTGCATTTTCATGCTTGCTTGGGGATTGGTTGGTTGATTTGTTTGCTTTGGTTTTGGTTTTGACATGGGGTTTTATCATGTAACCCACACTGGCCATGAACTTGTGGTGATCCTCCTGACACTGCAATGCTGAGTCACAGGTGTGATTAAAAATCAGTGAGTCTAGAAAGCAAGACAGTATGTAAAGAAGATACTCGTTAATCACCAGGCGTCTGGAACGTATTTAACTTCCAATATCATACATAGAACAATTTGACCAAAGAAAATCTGTCTTAAACAAACAAAAAATCTATTTCAACCCTAAGCTCAGTTTATGCTACACACACACACACACACACACACACACACACACACACACACACACACACAACAAATTTACACTTACATTCTCATATATACTCTAACACTCTCATACTCTCTCACACGCACACTGACACTCCCAAGACTTCTCTGCTGGCTACACCATCCATGTACAAATTAACCATTTTCCACTTGGCAATGTGTGAAACTTGTCCATTGTTAATTATCTGTGTTTTGTCTCCCTAGCCAAATCATAGCCGCTCACAGTAGAAACCGATTCTCAAAACCTCTGAGGGTCCTCAACAGGCCATGTGACCAAATCCATGAGGTCAGAGGAGATGGGGCCACCCTGCCTTACCTGCATAGGCATTAGCTTGCTGCAGAAGGTCAGTGCAAGTGTGCACATCTGCAAATGCGCGGATGCCCAGGCAATTGGTGGGATGCAACTGAGATTGCAGAAAGTCACAGCAGTTCTGCCGAACGTCCATGAGCTGCAGCAAGCTGGCTGCCGGAAGCAGTACCTGAAAGACAAGGTAACACTTTGAGATCCTGGTCCCATAGCAGGAGCTCATCAAAATCACTCTTCCCATCATGCTTCCGTGGCCTTATACTCTAGATTTTCTCATGGCTGTCCACTGCCTTCTCACTGAGTGGTCCAAACTTCCCAGTCTGCTTTGCAGCCTCACGTTCCACTGCTCTGCCCTTAAAACTGCACCCGAAAGTGAGGTCTCGGTGTCATTCCAACCTATAAAGTCTCCCAGGGTGGTCTCCATCCCAAGACCTTAGTAAAATGCAGGTATAGACTCGGCAGGAAGGCAGGCTGAACCTACACATTACTAAGAACTCCAGCGACCTTGTACCTGCTAGAGCAGGTGCCACACCCAGCGTGACAAAATGTGTGTACATGTGTAACACATGTACAACATATACAGAGGCTCGGTATCCTTGGTTACACACTGGTGTAACCCACAGAACTACAAATCCGGATGCCTGGGTGTTCTGTTCCGAGATTATGACAGGTATGGGCTGTTTGTGTGGTTTCTTCTGAGATTAAAATCTTCCATCTTGGAGGAGAGCTGGTTGCAACACAGATGTCTGCAGGCAGAGAGGTAAAACAGCAGATGGCCTAAGGAGAGGAGAAACATCCCACCCTTCAGGAACGCTCTTAAGCTAAGAGAGCAAATAACCCAGCAGCTATAGGAAGTCCCTGAAACTCACCAGATCCCCTAGGCCCTCCCTCCCCAGGTTTGTATACGCATAAGGACTGGGGAGAGACTCTCAGACAAGCTGCCTAGAGGAAGAGGAGACCAGCGGAGCTTCCTGGAAGAGGTTCAGACCAACTGAGCTACATGCCAAGGACTCCAACCTACTGAGCTGCCTGTAGATCATGCCATGTGCTCCAGGTTCCCAGCTTTGTGAGCTGTCACCCGTGCTGGGGTGGGCTTTGGTGGTGCAGCTGTCTTTGAGTCATTTCTGCTGCTGTAGGTCACCTATGTTCCTGTAAGTAACCCCAATAAAACTCATTGACTTTGCCATGTTAGACTTCGGTGACATCTGTACTTTGGTCTGTTGTCGGTTCCCTGTCTGGGGCAAATAGGTGTTTGTTTGCATCTCCCCTGGAATAGTGTTACACAACAGGTGTGACCTGGACATAACGAGATGTTTAAGGTTCCCGTACATGCTGCTTCAGATGGCTGAGTCTGAGAACCACTTCCCTGCAAAGTCCAGTGTGCTGTCTTCACTCAGACAGTGTGCCCTTGCTGCATTGCTCGCTAGCTCATTCTACCTAACTGTCCAGCGTCTATGTGCCAGGCTCTGGTCAAGGCTCTAAGATTCAGTAGCAGGCAAAACAACCAGATCTTACTTTTATGGTGCTTATCAACTGACTGAGAGCAGGGCTGGGTTTTCGTTTTAAAAGTCACAGGACACTTAACTTATTCTGCATCATGGAAAACAGAATAGTTCTTGCTTGGGCATGCGCAATGTTTTTCCTTAGAACCAGGGAAGACTGGCTTGAGCAGGCCTGCCAGGCACTCACTACCAATCCCTGTCAAGCTTCCCACGGCTACCCAACCTGCCCTCTAGATCATAAAAACAAGATAAAAGTCATGCCCCCCTCCCGGCTCTGCTGTCCCACTCACTCTGTGGAAGAGGCAAGCAGCCGGGATAATTTACCAAAAAGAAACTTAGGGGGGATACCAGAGCATTGATTTAAGATTCTGTAACTTGTAGACCAGCACCAGTTCCTCACAGCAATTCCCTGTCTCCAGGTCCTTCCTTCCCAGCTGTTCCCCGAGTTCTCAGGGAGAGAATCAGAGCCAGACCAACTCCAGCTGTTCCCAGGCTTGCCCAGGAAGACAAGGCAGCAGGCGGGCAGGCACGTCTGCTGTTGTTTTCTTTATTCTGGGCATTACAGACGTAGATATATAGATATAGATATAGATATTCCATACAGACTCCCATCACCCCTACGTGCTTAGGCCCAAAACAATGTCCCACTGAACATTCCTGGGCCAATGGGACTGAGGGACATCACAGGACGTCCTGTGCTGTGGAAGGACAGTTGTGCCCCATTCGTCCTCATCCCTTCCCAAACGCATCAAGGGCCCACCCAAGAATGCACGCACTGTGTGCTGGGGACCAGGCATCTCCTCTCTACAGCAACAATTCCTCCCACATACAGCTTCACCTCCTCCCTAGAAAAGCCACTCCACTCCTGTCCTCTAGCTGGCCTCCTGCTGCTGTGTCCCCTCCTGCCTACTGTGTCCCCAGCAAGGCAGTATCCTTGGTGTTTTCTGCCCCACTGACTCATTTCTGAAGAAGAAAAAGATAAAAATCTCCTTCGCCTCAGAGTTTTAAAACATAGGTGAACCCAACTACAGCCCAAATCTAACCACTAGAGCGCCAGCCCCACCACACAGCCTTTGCCCACTAAGCAGCCATAAACTGGAAAACTCAATTAACCTGTGGGCAGCTCAGCCTGGCCACGCAGATTCCAAGACCAGATTAGTTTGTGCCTGCCAGTCAGGTGGAGGCCCGTTAGCCATTCTTGCTGAATACATGTTGAGAATGGAAGGTTCTACACCAAGTGACCCCATAGCACCCCTGACCAATCCTCCTGCATTGTCTGACCCTGCTAGTTTTAGAACAAGTCCCAGGGGGACCCCGCCCCCAAGTTCTAGGCAACCTGGGACAGGTACTCATGTTAGGATGGGGGTTCCGTCTTACCGGTGACTCTCAAGGTGACTGAGAATCCTGTCTATTCCCAGACTGTGTTCCCTGCCAAGCCCCAGTGAGACCATGCCAGAGACACAGATTCTTCTCTTCCACCCTTCTCTCCAGGAAGAAAGCACAGTGTAGTGCTTGAGTTTTCAAGCTCGTGACAACCATCTCGAGAAATGCAATAACAAAGTATTTCCTTCGAGAACACTCTCGCCACCTAGCACCTCTATGGGCAGACTGCCCACATAGCTCTCAGCTTCCCTACTGTTCACACATCCCACCCAGTATACACAAGAGCTAGTGAGACTTCTGCCTGTCTGTAGCCCACGCCCCAGCCTTCATCTTGTTTGGCCCACTCCCACCGGAGCACCTTGAACTGGCTTCTGGTTTCTCTAATGGCTCCTATACTCTTTGATCTCACACTCAAGGGCCCTTTTCTTCCTCCCTTCCCCCCAATTCACTCAGGGCAGGAAGGAAAGTGGGGGTGGTCAGAGTATCGAAGGAGAGGATGGGGAGAACGAGAGATTAGTCGTCTCCCACGTGCTGTTGCCAGAGATAGAATGAGACCGCATCAGACAGGGACACACACACACTCACACACACACACACACACACACACACACACACCACACACACATGCTCAGGGATAGACTGAGGCTTCATCAGACAGGGACACACACACACACACACACACACACACACACGTGTGCGCGCGCACACACACTCCCATGTATGAGGTGACTAGTCAGCCCTGTCTTGCACATCTGTAGGACTTGAGCACTTCCTCTTCTCTGCTCTGCCCTCTACTTTGAAGTGAACTGTGGGGGTACAGCCATAGGATGGTCCACTTGGCCACTGGGGCACAGAAGACCAAGTCCTGGAAGGAGGAGCCAGCAGGAGCTGCCTATCAGCCTGAAACATTACTCTGGGTCAAAACCTCCCGATTGCCTTTCCTGCCTCATTCCTCAAAGACCCTGGAATGGCCTGGGGGCGCAGAGTTTGCAGGTTCCCCAGGTTGCAAATGACCAAGTCTCCATTTTTCAAGTCTCCATTTTTCACATGCTGGGCCTGTCTTGTTTTTTCTCTCCCTCCGATAACACAAAACACAGCAGAGGATATCCCGTCATGGGCTTCGCTTCCTTTTGCAAAAACAAGAGGAAATGCCCTGCTTCAGAAAGTGCCCAGTCCTGGAACTGCATCTAGGGGTGTGGGAGGGAGCAGGGCCAGACACCAAGGAGGGCACCCCAGAGTGCCAGGTGAAGGGCAGGCATCCAGTGCACCTGGACGCTGCACTCAGGGCAGGTGCAGGCAGACTGAGCAGCCGTGCCCGTCAGAGCCTGCCGAGGGGAAGGGACAGCAGAGGAGCACAGTTCAGGTGACAGGCCGGCACGGTCATCAGAGTGTGACTGTTGATTCTGGCCACGCGGCTGTGGACAGCGGCCTGGGATTCTCAGTCTCAACAGCACAGGGGGCATGGTCACAGGAGCGCCATAACAGCTTGTGAGAATCAGGCAGGCGAGGGCTTATAGCAGTGACCACGGCCAGCCCCAAGAGTGCACAGCCACTGTCGGTTTTGATTATAATTAACCACTAGGAGCAGAAAACAAGGCTCCGGCCACTCACTCAACGGGGAATTGAGTTCAGCACAGCCACAAAGGTCAGTCAGAGGGAGCCAGGGTCAGGTCCCCTCTCTCCCACTGTGACCCAGGTTTCTAAGTCCTTTTGTGCATCCGCTGCAAACAGGGATTGTGTTAGTCTCCTACTAGTTGCTAATGAGGATGAAATGGAAGGACTGGCACAGTCTGGGTCTTGACAGCATTAGTGACAGACAGACAGACAGACAGACAGACAGACAGACAGACCTCTCGCCACCATGGAAGAGCCACTGCCCCAAAGGGACGCCACTAGGGAGGGAGGAAGTTTTCACTCTCAGGGCCATTCAACCAAACCCCGGTCCCTGAAGGTAGATCCCTCAGGGGACTCACAGCCTGGGGGAGGGGAGGGGCACAAAGTCAGAAGAGGCAAACCAGACCACCCCCTCTTCCTTCAGAGTTTGGCCCAAACATTTCCTGAGTGTGCTCTGCCTTGTTTTACTCCCCTCAGGCATCAGCAGACTACTTCCTCCTGGATGCCTCCACCCAGGCCCACCATCTGTCTCTGCCCACAGAGCAGCTGTTCCTTGGGGAAGCGGCCTGTCACAGCAAATTCTTTGTAGACACTGTCTGCCAGTGCAGCAAAAAAAAAAAAAAAAAGGGGCCAAAAAAAAGGTCAAATGGGGGGAAAAAAGCCAACAAAAAGGAAGAAAGGAAAAAACATCTAGGGTCAGCCTCCCACCCTTCCCCATTACTCCTGCTCCCTACCTGGCCACCTGGCCACCTGTGCTCAGTCCCCGTCAGCATCCAATGCCTTCTGTGGTTGTGTAAAGGCACCACAGCTATATGCACCGTGTGCCAGGCCCGGCTCTAAGGCTATGTCAACATGCTTGCTCCTCACAGCAGCTCTATCAGATTAAATGATATTGTCATGATCCTCACAGCAGCTCTATCAGATTAAATGATATTGTCATGATCCTCACAGCAGCTCTATCAGATTAAATGATATTGTCATGCCCACACTGATGAAAGGGAAACACTGCAAAGATGAGGCACAGATTGATCAAGTAGCTTGGGGTAGAACACAGTCTATGAATTCCCACAGAATGGGTGCTCTGTGGAGTGAAGACTGTTATGTGGGGGAGACGGAACTTGGCAACAGGGTGTCAGGGAAGGGAGAGTGACACAGCTCTGGTAGGTGGGAGAAGCAAGCAGGCCAACTCCATGGCTTCCCCAGCAGTCACAGTTGGGGTAAGGGTGCTATGAACCAGTCATGATGGAGGAGGTCAGGGCTGTCTCCCCACTAATCCCATAGATCTCTCCCTCCACTCTGTCCTCCCCCCACACCTCCCTCCTAGACAAAGTAGTCTCTAAAAGTAATGGCAAAGTCACTTTCTACAGAGCTCCCTGGCTCTGGTAGCTCCTGTCACCCACCTTTACACACACATCTGTGAGCCCGAGAGATCAGCACTGGCTTAGATTAGAGTTGTAAAGATTGCCTTCTGTTGTGGGAATTCATTCTGCCAATAACTTTGTGGTACTGGCCCTAGGGTAGTCTGTGGATGTGATCTCTTAGAAGGAGAGAGACAGAGGTCACAGGCTCTCTTGGGTTGTGAAGACAGGGTCAGGAGGCATGAAGCAGCATGTGGCCGGTTCCCAGCTCCCTTGGGCAAAATGGAAGGACTTTGTAACCGGTTATACCTTGTTCTGTATCTGTGAGTCTGTTTTACCCATAGCATCCCTTAATAAATTTACATATAGAGATATAAAGATAAAGATAAAATTATATATATGTAGACATATATTGTGGTTCTTAGAACAGTCTTCTTACTGATTGATCCCTTGTTATTTTTATTTATAAATTAATACCTTAATTTCTTAACTAATCTCTTAATAATAAATTATTATTACCTCCTTGCTGTTATCATCTTATCCCTGCCAGGAAGTAAGAACACAGCAGAACCTGTCCTTATGATTCAAATTACACATTTTATCTCCTCCTTGCTGTTATCATCTTATCCCTGCCAGGAAATAAGAACACAGCAGAACCTGTCCTTATGATTCAAATTACACATTTTATCTTGGATAAATGTATGCTGAGCCAGGCATGGTGGAACACGCCTTTAATCCCAGCTCAGGAGGCAGAGGCAGGTGGATCTCTATGGGTTCAAGGCCAGTGTCCCTCGACATCCTCTCTCACTGCCAGGAACTGTGCACGGATGTGACTTGTGTGTTTGCTTCATCAGTCCTCACCCCTCCACTTGCAGACACCAGGGGACCAGTGCTGATACTTCTACAGTGCCCAACAGGGGGTGTGGCAGGGAACAGGAACATCGGGGCTGAATTGAAAGGACAAGCAATTACCAACTCAGCCTCTCAGACAGCTCTAACAGGAGTGTGGTGTTTGTAATAAGGGAAAGGTGTTTGCCTCAAGTAAATTAGGTAGATCTGTGCAAAAACAAAACAACAACCAAACAGCAAAACTAAACAGTAACCAAAAAAAAAGTTCAAATCATATATATTCCATTAGTCTTGTTAAATAGTAAAAGCAACAGAATGTATCCTTGTCTGGCTAGCCCCATGATATGGGGAGGCCCAGAGTGCCTCCCCATTGTCTGCCCAAATGGAGCACAGTATGGGTCCTCTCTTGGGTCCTCTTTGTCTTCACTGACTTCTCCCTCCCAGGCCTCAGATGGCTGAGGGCCAGGCGGGGCTGAGAAAGGAGGGAAAGATGCACACATTACGTCATAACCACACACTCTGGCTGAGACTACATCCCTAAGTTCAGGGCCTTTACATGACCACAGCTAGAAGATGAGAAACATTACCAGCCTCTCATACCCTGGGATGAAAGGGCAGCCTGGACAAAGAGGGGCCGCCAAGCTGGTTCCTCCTTCATAAGCTAAACATAACATGAGCTAAAAGTCCTCACTCCTGGGCTGGGCTCACACAGAGGTATCATGTGACCCAATGCTGAAAAGCATTGCAACTGAGGCCAGACATAGGCACTTAGGGCCAGCTGGCCCACTGGTTGGCCATGTGACGAAGGTTAAGTGGCTTAATTCTTTGCAGCTTGCTTTTCTCTTTAGTGACCCCTGAGGAGCTGTGAGGGCTAAATGGCAGGTGCAGAGTGTGTGGCACCGGGCCACTGGCTAAGGTTACCTGCACGTTCTCCTCGGTCACCTCGATCTCTGCGGTGTAGATGTAGTCGATCAGCTTACTGAGTGTCTGTCCATCCACGTCCCTGATCTCAATCTTCTTGGCTTTACTCTCAGACATGTCACCTAGAGTTCACAGCAAAACACAAAGGACACAGATTTGACACCTGAGGCCAGTTTGCTTCCTGTATTGTCCTGGAAACTGCCAGGGAGAGAGTCGGGCACGGACATCAAGGTCATAATGACCCTGGGTCTCAGATCACTCATCAACCGACTGCAGGCATCCTGTGTTGTGCTGCTTGTTCTGTAGACAAGGCCTGGAGCAACACTTACTGACAACTGCACCCAGGACCAGGTATGGTGAGCAAACTCTCCACCAACCCTGATGCACGGCGGGTCTTATAAGAGGAACAGAAATATACACAAGCTACAGTGACAACGTGAAAAACGAGTACTTGTTGTTGAGTGGAAACTATGGCCAAACACTGAGTGAAACGCTTTAAATTCTTTCCTCTTCCAAACCTCACAGAGACGTGTGATGTTTGTAATATTAGCCTCATCTTACAGGGAGAGAAAAGCAAGGCCCAGGAAGGCAGCCCATTCGTCCTGTTGTGCTCATGCATCTAGAGGGCCGAGGTGGTTGAAAGGGAATCTGACTTGAGAATCCACAGCTTTAAGTACCATGTCATCCTGAGTTCTAGAAACACAGAGAAGGAACAACTGACCATACCTGGGAGCTATATCAAGGTCTCCCAAGAGAGAGCACATTTATGTGGGGGTGACAGGATGAAGAGATGTTCCCAAGATAGCAAATGTGGGAAGGGGGGTGCGGGCTAAGTGAAACGGAGAAAAGATCCAAGAGAACACTGTATCCGAGGGACAGTGAGAGGCCAGTGTGGCTGGGCACAGGGTGCAGTGTGGGGGAGGAAGCCAGAGAGGTGCCCATGGCTGTAGCTGGTAGAGCCCCATACATCACACTAGAGAAAGGTACACATGGCCATAGTTGGCAGAGCCCTATTCATCATACAAAGGAGCTTCATCCAAAGGGCAGCACCACTGAGAGGTTCTAAATGGGAACAAGAACAGATGGAACATTTTCCTTGAGAATTTTATACATGAGTACTGTTTTTACATCAGTTCCACCCTTCCCTCTCCACCCCTAACCCCACAACTCCTCTTGTGCCCCACAAAGCCCTCTTAAATTTATGACCTCTTCTTCCGCACAGATGTATATATAAATACAACCTACTGAGTCCAGTTAGTGTTGTTCATACATCTGTGTGTTTAGGGCTGACCATTCAGGATTGGATAACCTCTCAAGGGGCTCCTCTCTGTCTTCTCTCTCTCTCTCTCTCTCTCTCTCTCTCTCTCTCTCTCTCTCTCTCTCTCTTTCTCTCTCTCTTTCCCATCCACCACTCACTGACTGTAGCTCTTCACCTAGGTGTGGGGCACTGTGAAATGAATGTCACCTGGTGTTCTCATTTTGGAGATCTTGCTTAGATGACTACGCTGATGTGATTTCATGGGTGTAGCTCCCTGTCAAAATCAGAAGAAACTATCCCTTAGCAGACAAGTCCTGGTCCTCTGACTCTTGTAAACCTTTTGCTTTTTCCTCCCTGATGCTCCATGAGCCTTAGATATAGGAGTTGTGTTGTAGGTGGGTACCGTAGGCTCAGCCATTATCTGCATTTTGGCCAGCTGTAGATTTCTCTCATGGTCTCTGGATGGAAATTTCTGAATGAAATTCTGGGTGCAGGGATGGGAGAGAGCTGCACTGGAGGCAGGAAGAGCAGCTGGAGACCCTGATAATAACTCAAGAAAGAGTAGGTGGCCAGGAAGCAAGAGCAATGTCCGTACCATATTCTCAGCCACAAGACCAAACGATGCCAGTGCTGATCTAGAACCGGCCTCTTCAGCGAGGGCTGGGAACTTCAGGCCACAAAGGCAGTAGAACACTGAAGGGGAGGGTGATCTGACCACAAGAAACAACACAGCCAAAAGCTGTTGTGAGTGTGCAAACAGCCTGGTCCCTGTTCTCTCTCAAATCCATGCCAGAGCCCAGATGATTCAGTAGAGCACAACTCACAGGCTTCTGACACCCTCCTCCCAGCTACAGGGACACACCACCAGTCCACAGCACCCATCCTACCACAGCCCCAGATCTGAATGACTGTAGAACAGGGGGAATGGATGGCGTTGGGTTTGCCAAATCCTGCCTGCACAGTCTCCTTGTCAGACCAGCTTGGCCAGGAGCCCCACTGTCTTTCCCCTCTCTGGGTACTGTGAAGGCCAACATCTAGAATTCAGGAGGCAGAGGTGAGGAGGAAATAGGGGAAGGTGGCAGACTCCCCCTACCTGCCCCTAAGATGGGGGCCCTGACCCTCCTGAGTTCACACTGAGTCATACAAACAAAACCAAGCACAGGCAAAGAAGGTAGAAGTTAGTGTTTCTTCTTCCAAGTGGCTGTTTAGGAGTTCTCTGATTAGGGCCCAACTGCTAACTGTATCACAAATAATGTTAGGCTTAAAAACTTAGGCCTGAGAAATAGGATTTTGAAAGAGCAGCTGGCTGCAAGAAAGAATTCAGAGGCACGCAGTCAGGTCTGGACTGACCGCCCTCCCTCTGTGGAATCTGTGTGTGGGAGTCAAGCCCAGTCCTTAGAACTTCAGATAAACAAACAGAAACTATTGAAATTGCATGAAAACCTCTGTGTGTATTCACACACCCTTGGGCGCAGGGTCAAGAGGAGATCCGTTTTCTGGGATGATAACAGATTTAGCGGATTCCTTCAGGTTTCTATGGCCCTCGAAAGGTAAGCAAGCTTCTCCAGACAGAGCTTCCTGGACTGTGAACGTCATTGTGCACAGTGCTCAGAATCAAGCACACCCAGAACCCACATGGTCTCTGGAGGTGCTTACCAGCGTATGGCCATTCAGCTTTGCTCCAGCCTCGTCCTGAACACGTGTGTGCACTGTGCAGCGCACACGCCACCACCCTGCCACACCAAGAAACTGCCTGAAACACATTGGCTTGGCCTCAGGAATATGTTTTATGGACCACTTGTTTTTATTGCACACATAAGTTGTTCTGCACCTACAGAAACATAATCATTTGAATCTGGAAAACGAAGAGTTGGAAGTATTTCCCTATTGTCATTCTTCAGCATACGCCAAAGTAGTGCATATCTCTGCACTGTGTTGTGTTGGAATGTTTGGTTTTGAAGATTGCTGTCTGAAGCAAAGGAAACTACAACAGAGAAAAATAGAGAATAGGAAAGAGTATTTGCTAGCTATGCCTTAGACATGAGGTTAATATTTAGGATACATGATACAAAGAACTAAAAGTCTGTGGAGATGGATCAGTCAGGAAAGGCATTTGCCACACAAGGCAGGTGGCCTGAGCCTGGATCCTCAGAGCTCATGTTGAAGCTGTCAGCAATCCCAGAGCAACCCTGCAGGAGTCAGAGGGAAGACAGGGGATCTCCAGAATCTGAAAGTCCAGTCCAGACTCCTCAGTGGTGAAGGGATTCTGCCTCAAATAAGGTAAAAAGGGAGGCATCAACACCCAAAAGCCATCCTCACCTCCACACATGTGTGTTTATACACACATGCACACATGCATGCATACACACATGCATGCATACACAACGCTAACTACAAATTAAACATACACATGCACAAACACACTGTGAGTCAGTAAAAAGGCTAAGAAAATATTTATCTAAAGTAGAAACAAAAGTGGCCAATGTTTTTTAAGCTGTTTGATATTATTAACTATCAGGGAAGTATGTATTAAAACTACTTTGAGATTCCATTACCACCCAGTCAGAATGTCTATCACCAAGAAAACCAGTGACAATAAATGCTTTGAGCATGTGAGGAAGGAGAAATGTATTTATGCCTGGTACAAATGTAAGCTGGTGAAGTCATTTTGGTCACCAGTTTCCAAGAAAATTAAAAACAGAATTACCTGTTGACCCAACCATATCCATCTTGAACACACACTGAACATGTCCATGCTCACTGCTGTTCTATTCACCAAGAAGACAGCCATGTTCACTGCTGTAATCACACTGAACACAGCCATGTTCACTGCTGTAATCACACTGAACACAGCCATGTTCACTGCTGTAATCACACTGAACACAGCCATGTTCACTGCTGTAATCACACTGAACACAGCCATGTTCACTGCTGCTCTGTTCACAGCAAACACAGCCATGTTCACTGCTGCTCTGTTCACAATCGAAAGGAAATGGAGTCAGCCCACACGTCCACCAATAAACAGACAAGTTGAACATGAAGATGTGGCCCATATACACAATGGGATTTTATTCCTATATAAAGCAAAATAAAGTTTACAAGAAAAGATTCTATTAAACAAGGCAACCCAGGTTCAGAAAGACAAATATTGTATGTTCTTTCTTAGTATGTGGATCTTAACTTCCTAGTTTTTAATGTTTATGGGGGCAGGGAGGCTGGGAAAATAAGCCTTGTAGGTTAAGGGTTCTGTTTACGGTTGGGACAGGTAAGAACGACTTCCCATTTGTCGTGTTTGTTTGATCCACCTGCACCAGATGTGATGGATCACATGTGGGTGGGAGGTACGTGGGCAGGAAATACGTCAGGATGCACGATTGCCTCTGATTGGATGGAGGGAAATATAGCGGCCAGTGTGACTCGTGGCCGTTTCCTGGGAACCCAGGAGTGGACCTGGCCAGAGTCCAGCTTCCTGCCAGTGTGTAACTAAAGCTTGCTTCAAGTTTGGCTCAGAATTCTGAAACCGGTTTTTCTTTCAAAAATCTCAGGACTGGCACCATCTCGCCGGAAGTGGTGAGGTTAATAGACTGTGCCACCATATCCCGTTTGAGCCTTGCTGGGGTTGCATCCAGGGCTTCCTGGGCGTTAGGTAAGCACTCTTCCAAATGGACTACATCCTCAGGTCTATGAACAAATTTTTTGGCATACACACAATTTTACCATCTACTCTATGAATATTTTTCTTCTAATTTATTTTACTTTAAGGAAATGAATGGACATACAGCTAATCCTGAGTTTTTGAGAGAAAAACCAGTTTTACAATTTTGAGCCAAACTTGAAGCAAATTTAATTACACACTGGGAGGAA